TATTATTATTATTATTATTATTATTATTATTATTATTATTATTATTATTATTATTATTATTATTATTATTATTATTATTATTATTATTATTATTATTATTATTATTATTATTATTATTATTATTATTATTATTATTATTATTATTATTATTATTATTATTATTATTATTATTATTATTATTATTATTATTATTATTATTATTATTATTATTATTATTATTATTATTATTATTATTATTATTATTATTATTATTATTATTATTATTATTATAAATAGCTATTTTAGTTATCACTGCAACCTTATTACTATTATGAAAGTTTTTTCTGGCAAATAATTTTTAACGTATGCAAAATCTAAAATTTTGACTGGTCCCTTTTGGTTACCTTTACTGATATTGTTTCCCAAAATACGCCGTTCTTGAAACACCTAACATTTAAATAATTGAATACCACTGTTACATAGGATATTTTGAGAAGAGGGAGCAATTTGTAATAAACATCCGAAGAAATAATATGTTATTTTATCAAATACCAGAATTTTACCAGAATACAGGTATTTTAAATATTTGTAATAACAATATAAGTCTAGACCAATATTTCAAGGAAATATTTTGATCAAATCAAATTAAGACAGTAGCTTGTTAAAATTTTAATCATTGGAGATAATATACTTACATACATATATAATAAGTTACTTAGATGAACACGATGAAAAGAGAGAGAAAAAATATAAGCAGATAACATTCCTTTCAAATTAATGCTGATTCTTCAAAAAATACATATTTTCTTTTCAAAATAACCAAAACATGCACATGCTTATTCATAAGGAAAAAGATACACTAGGCATTATAAAAATTTATATTTTATTAGTGAAAAATAATTGTATGCATTTTTTTAATGTTAATCAGGTACAACTAAAACAAAAAAGTTTTCTATGAGGAACTACACATTTTGTTTAGAATATATGTGCAATATCTAAGAAATGTCATTTACATAAATATCTATTTAAAATATATGTGATGATAAAGATTACGTATTAATACACTGTATTGATGTGAATTTACACTTTGTAATCGAGCACTCCAAACCACTTGAGATGTGTACCTATCTTTTTACTTTATAATGCCGAACTAATGACATATGTATCTGCTAAGCAAAAATGCAGTTCATAATTTGCTGAACTTGGAAGATAGTATGTGTATATAATGATTTATAGCTGAAATTCGACAAATGCTTAAAAACAAAAATTCATCGTTGACATAGAAAAAACATAAAATACAACAAAATATATGAGAAATTACAGACATTTTACAGTACATATTGACGACTACAAAGGTGTGTACAATAGCATATTTTATTTTAATAATAAAGAATTCATAACCACAAAAAATAAAATGTAAACCAAATATAAAATTTAAACAGGGAAAGACAAAATTGAGAATCACAAGATGTATCTGACAACTCATTAATAAGTGAATTTATTATTAATTTTGGATGCAACAGTTTGAAATAAAAATTGAAAAAAACTGTATTAATAATTTAAATATATGTGTACTAGGTATATATTACATAAATGATAAAGAATAATGGATTAAACTTACTCTAAAAGTTAAAAAGATTATTATTATATTAAAATTGGATAGATTAAGTTGAGATTAAAATACATTGTTAGAGATATATTAGAAGATTATTTTTTATAGATGTTTTGATTAAAAGGTCTGATATGAAACAAGTTTTTATAAAATAGAAAACTAACAGATAAGGTAGGTAAATGTTTAAATTTCAAGTTAAATCGAAACCTAAAGAAATGTGTAATAAATGTTTTATAACATTGATTTCTTCGAAAAACTACATTTTTAAGAATGAAATGGATAAAAATGTTATAATAATAATGCATTCATTGCCCAACAGAAAACATTCCATTTACAGGACAAAATAAGTAGATAATTATAATATAAGCATACTACTGAACAATAAATAAAGAAAACAAATAAATAAACAAAATAGAAAAAATAAATAAACAGCAAAGAGGAAAAAAGCAAAACCTATATCTAATATTGAAATTATTGAAGTATTCCGAGGCAATTCTTAACAAATTATTAAAATTACAATGAAATAAATAACACTGATCTGCTATTTGGTTATAATTATTAGCCATTAAATAAACAGGAGATTTTACAAGCACATTTGTTCTAGCATTTCGACAATAAAACAGTCAACCCTCACGAGAGCCAGGTCTCGGAACACGTATATTAAAAAGATAGATTAAAGCCTGAGAATCAACCATGCCATGAAACAATTTAAATAAAAATATTATGTTTTGTTATATAATAATATCTGAAATAAATCACTGTTATTAATGAAAATAAAAACAATTCTCAGAGACAACAAAATGTTACCTACACATATAGTAAAAATGCTGTCTGTATAACAAGGCTTAACTGGGAAATTTAAAAAAAAAACTGTTACTCTATAATAATAACAGAAATAGATAACGGGTTTTACTAGAACAGTTTTTCAAATGTTATCGAAACCTTGACTGGAAAATAAGTTATAAAATTCAAAAGACTGCATTTTCGCTTTGCTAACTTTTATTTTCTTATTCTCAAGACAGAGTAGCTAAAAATTCAGGGCAAAAGCAAAAAATTAAGGGCATTTTTCATTTGTCTTATGAGTGACCAAAACTATACAAATATTTTTAATAAAAAAGAACGTTATTGAAAAATTCGTTATTGTTATAAAATCTACCACAAAATAGGCAAAAAATTTAAAAAATATAAATAAAACAATAAAAATACGTTGTCTGGAATGAGTTGAGATCATTTAAATATTGATATACAGGGTGTCCCGTTCATCGCGATTTAAAAAAACTTGCCTGCAACTTCCTCATGGGAAAATAATAGAGGTAGTTCATGTGACGTTTTTTCTTAGACGTCCTGTTTACAAGATACAGTGTTGGAGTTGTTACTTTCCAAATGGTTTTTCTGAATTATCTTTAAATCGGTAAAGATAAAAATGTCAAAATTTGTACACAAGTAAACATCTATAGAAGAGCAGTGACGTCGATACAGGTAATTAAAGGGGTACGATCGAAAAAAATGTCAAAATTTGTTACATTTCTAAACGGTTTTGTAAACTCTAGAGAGTCTAAAGCATATTCCAAAAAAAAAGTATACTTGTTGAAATTCGGTACCATGTACCATTTTCGAGGGAAATGAAGTAACATAGAAGCAAATGGGGGACAATTTAAGCATCTACTGTAGTATTTCGAGTTTTGCTCTTTTATTTAATGGTGTTGCTATTTTGTTCTGTTTGTCTCCGAGTCTGTTTTCTAATATTTTTCTGTTCTTATCACTTTTTTAAGCATTCATGTCCATTGTTTATTTTAGTAATAGTAATGTACTAGTTTGCAAAATCTAAAATTAGTTATTAATAGACAAATTAATTACCAGAATTTGTGTATTTCTATTTACTTTTTGAACGTTATTTTATAACAAGCTTAAAATTAAAATAAATTATATATTTTTTTATTTCTTTAACTTAATAAAATGTTTTACTTTAACTGTTTTATGTGATACGTAAGAAATTAAACTTATATTCTTAAATGCAAAGACTATTGGTAGCTAAATATCTTCAGCTCATTCAATGGTAACTTCAATGTACATTTAATTTAAAAAATTCATACAAATACAGTACAATACATTCAATGTACTTGTGCCGGTTTATGTGAGCATAAAAATGCTACTTCATTTTTCGCGAAAATGGTGGTGCATGGTACCGAATTTCGATAAGTATACTTTTTTTGTAGTATGCTTTAGAGTTTACAAAACCGTTTAGAAATGTAACAAATTTTGCCCAACATATTTTTTTTCGATTGTACCCCTCCAATTACCTGTATCGGCGTCACTGCTTTTCAGAAAGAAACCGTTTGCACATTATTCTTAACACTCAGTTGATGTTTACTCGTGTACAAATTTTTACATTTTTTTCTGCAACACACTGTATCTAGAAAACAGGGCGTCTAAGAAAAAAACGTCACATGAACTACCACCCACTATTTTCCCATGAGGAACTTGCACACAAGTTTTTTTGAAACATGAACGGGACATCCTCTATAATATAACAAACTGAATGAGAAGTTCTAGTTGTATATTACAATATGAAATTCTTTATTATGCATTTATGTTTATTTTTTTTTAAGTTAAACGCAAACGCCATCTACGAAGTTTTCATCAAGACGTGTTTGCCGGATTGTGCAAAAGTCTTGAATATTTTGTAAAAATATACGAAAGAGTATAATTATGGACATTTGGCGTCCTGCAAAAAGTATTGGGAGGAAGCTAATTGATAATAGCGCAAATGGAGTTTCGAGACTTTGAAATGTTAAAATTGAAGAACATTAGAAGAGCAAAAAGGTCATATTACTCAATGAAATAATCCAAGAATTTCAGAAAAGAAGTTAATTCTGTAAATGGAAAAGAAAATAAGTTTGTTTTGCTAAATGCTGATAATCATATTGATTTGATAATTGTTGATTGAATATTCTCAACGATGAGGTAAGTGGCAGTACTCGTAGAATAAATAATACTGCATGATACATTTTACATAACATAAAAACAACTCTTGTGTTTGACTTCCAATCGTTTTCATGTGAGTTTTGAAAATGAAAACAGAATAGTTTTTGAATAGTTAATAACTTATATTGTTTATTTGCAGTTAAGCAAAATTAAGTTTAAAAAATGAAATATTTTAGGTGCAAGATGTCATTTAGTTAAAGTTTCATTTCCCTCCCAGGTGACAGAATATCAAAAATCTTAAACCAGAACTTTTTAAATATTCTAGAATATTGTTTTAGCCATATTAAACATTTACCAATAATACGTACTCAATTAAAGTAACTACTGAAGTAATTTACGCTAATTATGTAGATTTTATCTAGTTTGATAACATATGTATTAAATACACTCCATGACTTGTTAAATAGTTACTTCTAAACGACTTGCTAACCAGATATAAGTAGAATCCTTCTTGTAAGCGGTTTTAGTATTTCAAAAGGTACAACAGTTGAACACAACGGTGAAAATGGTTAAAATCAAGAAAGGTAATAAATTATTTAAAATATGTTTTGATAATACGTATATAATATAATTATCTTTTCTCTTTTCTTGTAAGAATAAAAACATAGTGGTGCAACAAAAGGGGAATATAGACAGCAAAAGAAGGCCGTTTTTTTCACCTCCTATTAAATTAATTTGTTAATTAAATCTGTCCCATTAAAATCATATGCGTTAAAAAGCGACGAACATAGATTTAGCTGGCAATTAAATTATTATTTAGCAGATGAAAAAAAAAAAACGGCCGTAAAGCTTATGTTAATGTATTTTTCAGTTTCCGTGATCAGTATTGAAAGCCTGAAGATTACAAGTGCCAAATTGCAAAAGCACTGGGAAAGCGTTCATCTCAACGACAACTTCTATTATGTCCACATTCTATTTTTATTGGTTGGTCTCATGCACTTCTTGCCTTACACGTTCTTCGTTACTGCAAATGCCGTAAGTTTAAGAATTTTGTGTTTTCAAAGGGAGTCTTTCTTTCAATATTACTTTGAGCAGCACCCCCTCCGCATTTTAAACCACATGGGTTGACATTCGAAATTTTTTTTCAGCGAGTCTACAGTCTACTGCGTTCAAAGAATTTTGCCAAAGATAAGAAAATTATATTAGGCATTTTTTTTAAAGAAAACGTGTACCCATTTGGTACCACTAAAATTTAATTTTATTAGATTGTGCAGGGTGCTTGCCTCAATATACAAAAAAGGAGTTCATTATATTGCACCTTTTGAACAGTTTGTTACAAAATATTTCTTTGTACAGAACAACAAAAAATTATTAGAAGCGATGGTATTGTAATGATAAATATATCTATTACGTAACTATGTAGCCATGTTCTTTACGAAAAAGAGTAGTAATCAACTAATTACTAAAAATGTTTTATTTGTATGGTTATTCATATATTCAATATTTTTTTACTTATTTGTTAAAAAAAAATATCATTACAATGTAATATTAATTTGTGTCATAACTTTAATAAGGTCTTTCTGTTTGCACATAAAACGTTGGATGTTATTGTATCTGACCATTTTTTTTTATTTTTTGTGTAAAGATTATATTTTTTTATAAACTTTTAACCTAACCTAAAACGACTCGACATGATACTTGATCGACTTTATACAGGGTTTTCCAAATATTGTATTTTAAAAATTCTGTTCATTAAAGCAAACACTCTGTATGATCTATCAAAATGAAAATTTGGCATTAGCTTGCAATTCAATTAAATCTATAATAATTTCTTTCTAAGACATTTGCATAGAGTTTAATTTTATTAAATTTTAATATTTCTCTTTGATATATTGCATGAAATTTAAAAGACAGCAAAAAATCTTTGTAAATGCAAAAATATAAGAAAAAAGTCGGTTCTAGCAGTGTTGACTATAATTTGTATAGGAAATACAGCTATTTCCAATTTATGACAAAAAAAGTAATTTTTATAATATTCAACTTTATAAGTACTTTAATTTATGTACTTAATAGTTGATAAGGAATTTCACCAAAGGAAACGACCATATTGAATATTATTTATTTGTTGTGTAGTACAGTAGCTTGTAGATGGTTATCACATAATATTTACTTATCATAATTCCATGACGTCATTTATACAAATCGACCTTTAATTACTATGTTACTGATTCATATCTACATGTCCAGATTGGAGAGAAAACGTATAACCAAACACTTAAAGCTCGCCGAATTATTGTCAATGCCAGTGTAGATCATTAATTTGCATAATTACACCAAAGATTGCCACTACATTTATTCATTTGTTCCATTGCAATTATCTTTTTCAATTGTATTCAAAACCTACTTGTAGCAAAACATTTGCAACTGAAAAATAGATGTTGAATCTAATGATACTCAAGGGAAACATCTGTCAATATTCATTTTTTGTTACTGATAATTTAAATTTCTTAGTATTGGATGGACAAGTTCCGGAACACTTCCTCTGACGATTTGTACGATGCCTCCAAGAGAACTAACCTCCAAAGCCATTTTGCGTCTGGAATATCCATATGTAACAGCATTCCTAATTCGATTGTCGCAATACTTTCAACATTATTCGGTCATAAGTTGAAACCCAGGTTCAGGGTCAATTTCACACTGTCTGTTATGTTTATCTGCTTCATCGTGATGACACTGTTTGTGCATATCAATACAGATACTTGTAAGTATATTGGAAGCGTTGATAGACGATGTATCAATTACAATATGTAGTCATCCTTCTATGTTTACATTTATTTTTAGGGCAAACTTTATTCTTCTGTGTCACATTTGCAGTCCTTGCAACGTTAATTGGTGAGTCCTTAAGTTTATACATAAAATTAAAACGAACTAAGTAAGCTGTGAATTTAATACGTAATTAGCTGCTGCTAGCTATTAGATTTTTTTAATAAAACCTTGTTTAATTATTTCTGTTACCTGGTACAAAATATATACTGTATACAACCCTATTGAATTTCTCGAATAAGATCTTTTAATATTTTGGAAAATATATCTACGAATGTTACTCATCTGTTACCATTTTCAGCTGTAAATGCCGCTCTACAGATGTCAGTATTCGTACTGCTGGCAAAGTTTCCACCGTACTTCATGAAAGTTTACCTCTTTGGTCAAGGTTGCGCAGCTGTGTTTACCTCCTTATTACAAATAATGACCCTAGCTATAGGAACAACCACTAAAACGTCCGCCCTAATTTATTTCGGCATAGGATCCAGCGTTATGGGCTTCACTTTAGTTTTGTTCTACTTCAGCAAATACAATGATTACTACATGTACTTTGTGAACCATTTTGAGGAAGATATCACTAGGGATATGTTATCTTTTGCGCAAATAAAATCTATATTAAAGAGTATTTGGCCTGTCTTGTTTATGTACGTATGTTTTGATTTGGCGAAGATTCCGCAGACACCCGTGACGTCGCTGGTTGTATCTGAAAACTATGGTAGTGGGAGCGATTGGAATGGTGAGTGTTTTTATTCAATAGTTTTGAAATTATATGCGTTTTCCATTATTGAGCTGCAATCATCTTCTACTGATTACACAGGCCGACAAAAGTTTGTCCCAACAACAGGAATATACTTTCCCAAAGGATTTTGGTGCGCTGAATTCGAGGTCCAAATTTATCAATTAACTTTGGTTCGAGATATCCTAACTTAAAAGTGATAATGTCGCGACATTTAGACTTATTTCTTGGAAAAGTACATTCTGGTTTCTGACTTAGAGGGTCGGCCTGTGCTGTTTTTGTTTCTATTTGCCCTAATTTCTTGGTTTACTGCCTTCAAAAAACTTTGCCGAAACTTAACCAACTTAGCTAACTTAAGTAACTTAATTGAATTGTATATATCCCTATTTCCCTGACACAGAAATTATGGTTTGTTGAATCATACCGGGCGTAAATTATTGATCCTATTAGAAAAGAGAATTAGGCTAGAATTTATAAAAACGAGATAATAGCATTTGTACAGAGAGCTATAAAGATTTGACCAATTACAGGCATACACAAAAAATATTATGCGATAATGATAAACATCTGTTTACAAATAACTAAAGAAATATTGGGAATAGAAACCTAGATATATATGTATTATATATTATAAATGTAACGTAATATTAATGAGTTATATAGTTATTGTCTACCATTAACAAGACCTTTCTTTCTACATGGCATCTAAAAAATCAGTACTAGGAGTTCATATTTTTTTATCTTTCTGCTCAAAAACCATCCTCTGTTACAAACTCCAAAGTGAAACATGAATATTGTTTTTATACAAATACTGTATTTAAAAAATTGTGCATACTTAAAACAAACACCCTGTATGACCTATCGAAATGAAATTTTGTTATTAGCAAATAGGGATTTTTAGCAAAATTTTTTGAACGTAGTAGGTAGGCCATGAAGTCATGTTGGGAGGTACTGCTCAAAGTGGAATACACTCTACTTCTTTTGAAAATAAGACAAGAGTATTAGAAAATACGAATTAAACTCACAACTTCATGTTTTTACAGGCTTTTGCATTTAGAAATACCTACGTTTATTTTTTCCAGATGTCTATTTTGTACCGGTGATAACTTTCTTGTTTGCTGATATTTGTACATTGATTGGAAGAGTTGTTTGCTCGATAAGCAAGGTAATACATTGTGAAGGTACAAAATTATCAGAAGCGGGTAACTGGTTGTATTTTTTTTCAGCCTATGCCTATTTCACTGGCAATGATTTTTTCGGCATCCAGGGTTGTAATATACATCCCACTAGTGTTGTTATGTAACGCACAACCCAGAAACCACCTACCCGTTGTTTTCGGCCACGATTGGGAGTACGTTATCATTGTAGGCACGCTTTCCATGACTAATGGATACTTGTTTAATCTAGCATTTTTGAGTATCAATCAGTAAGTACCTGCTATTTATTTTTTTATTTTAATTTCGTGACTATATTACTCTTTATTATATTGCAAAACTCAATTCACTGAAGTTTTATCACAAAAAACACATATATGCAGTTCGTTAGGGAACTCACATAAATCTTGGAAGATGAATCTTGATTGATTGTTAAAATTTGAATTAGTGAGGTTTTAAGTAACTTTGGTTAAGGCTATAATTTTAATAAATATATCGCAGTCAGCAGATACATCCGCCATCTAATACGAGTAGTAAAATATAAACAGCTACTTTTAAGATAAATCAGTACATCAAAGTAATAATAAAAAAAAGTACCTGTACAGATAAAATAAAATTTTATACTGCTTGTAACAGGAAAATACAAGCCAATAAGTCTATGGCATGGTTTCATTTTTTTTATAATCTGCTTTACCTGTTGAGACCATCTGTATAATATTTTACTTGTAAGCGTTCACAGATGGTTTGATTTAAGATGGTTATTACGGAAAATTGCTTAAATTAAGAAAATATCAAAAAAATATCGTTGAGATTTAGCAGAAGTTGATTTCTTTCCAAATAGACCAAGCAAATTAAATTTTTACTCGAAAAAAGTCCTATCCGCTAAATTATTGTAAAATTGTCTAAAGAAACATAATACAAGACATCTCTCGTCTCGTGAGTCAAAAACTTTTATTAGCTAACTTTTCTATTTAAACAAATAAGTGAGGAAAACAGTTTTTTCACTTTGCAGGGAAAACCATCAATTTTAGCGAAAAGTGACTCTCAGACAGCTTATAGGGAGTAAAATTATCTACAAAATGAGACTGGTTAAATTAAAATCGGTTAATAAACAAAAAAGTTATTGCAAAAAAACAAGAAAAGTGCCCATTTTTTCATTTGTTTATAACTATCGCATTTATTGTTAAAATTTTATAAAACCTATGACAAGTTGAGGGTTTTGTCATACTTTAAAAGTGTGCCAAAAGTGGGCGCTGTAGGTGCAATAGTTTTCGCACAATTCTATTTGTTTATAGCGGAGGCTCCAAAAGTTATGAACTTTAAGCCTCTGTACAGACGTTAATTTTCAATCAAACATGATTCTGAAAGCGTCATTGTAATCTTAAAGACGCAATTAAGCGACCTATTAAAAAATATCACCGTTTTTTTGACATTAACATTCTCAAATTGTGCATTAAAAAACCGTGCGTTTTTCGCTTATAAACAATTTGAATAACATTGTTGCTATTTATGCTATCTCACCGAAAATAGATGCAATGGATAGCTGGCAAAAAAATACAGTTTTAAAATAAAAAAAGTACCCTCTACGACCAACAGGAGCCAAGATAAGATTTTTTTTTAAATCGTAGCGCAATCGTTTATAAATATTAAAACTTGAATATTTCGCAAAATAAAGTTTACGACGTAAACTATGATTTCCCGTGAATTGCATTGAAAAATGTGGAAAATTAACGACTCACGAGCCCTTTAAAGAGAAGGTACTCGCTAAGTAAACTGTCCGGCGGCCGGCGGCGTGGTGGTGGGGGAAGCTCGTCCAAGCGGTCGCGCGGGCGAGAAAAGTTAAATCCAAAGTTCAAATAAGTGCGCGCTGTAAATTTTGCAATATCTCGGCTTCTATTCATCGTAGAAACTTATTTTTTTTAAACTGGGGTAGCTCGTCGAAAATATAACAATTGGCATATTTACGAATTCGTAGAATAGCCCTGAACCCTAGAAAAAATGTATCTTTTATACTTAATTTTATTTAATTTACAAAAATGTAACAAAAATTGTTGTTAAACGAAATATTAATTAAAATTTCAATTTCGGAATTATTTTACTATTATTAAATAAATAAATGAAGCTATCGTTCATTTAAAAAGTTATTTCTTTTACATATTAAGGCAAAGTAAACTTGTTTTTTCAATATTTTGTTAGCTATTTAATTACGATTTAAATGTAAAATTAAAGTAAAAATTCATAAATTATTTTCAAATTATTATTTCTCATAAAAATAGAAAAAATTTTAAATTTTAAATTGTATTATATTGCATTATTTATATCTATTATTGAAAATGGTTGTGATTAATATTTTTTGAATTAATTTTGATTATGTTTATAAAATTAGTAATAAATATAATAAAAAAACTTTATATATTAAAATTTCAGGAAGTTAAAATTGTAATTTTATCGACCGCGTTATTTTTAATATTTTTTAATTTTGAGAATTTTGCAATAAATTCAAATGCTTTTTATTCTTTTTTAAATCTTTTAACAATAAATAATAATTTGAAAATAATTTGTGAATTTTTACTTTAATTTTACATTTAAATCGTAATTAAATAGCTAACAAAATATTGAAAAAACAAGTTTACTTTGCCTTAATATGTAAAAGAAATAACTTTTTAAATGAACGATAGCTTCATTTATTTATTTAATAATAGTAAAATAATTCCGAAATTGAAATTTTAATTAATATTTCGTTTAACAATAATTTTTGTGACATTTTTGTAAATTAAAAAAAATTAATTATAAAAGATGCATTTTTTCTGGGGTTCAGGGCTATTCTACGAATTCGTAAATATGCCCATTGTTATTTTTTCGTCGAGCTACCCCAGTTTAAAAAAAAAAAAAGTTTCTACGATGAATAGAAGCCGAGATATTGCAAAATTTACAGCGCGCACTTCCCCCACCACCACGCCGCCGGCCGCCGGACAGTTTACTTAGCGAGTACCTTCTCTTTAAAGGGCTCGTGAGTCGTTAATTTTCCACATTTTTCAATGCAATTCACGGGAAATCGTAGTTTACGTCGTAAACTTTATTTTGCGAAAAATTCAAGTCTTAATATTTATAAACAATTGCGCTACGATTTTTTAAAAAAAGATTCTTATCTTGGCTCCTGTTGGTCGTAGAGGGCACTTTTTTTATTTTAAAACTGTATTTTTTTTCCAGCTATCCATTGCATCTATTTTCGGTGAGATAGCATAAATAGCAACAATGTTATTCAAATTGTTTATAAGCGAAAAACGCACGGTTTTTTAATGCACAATTTGAGAATGTTAATGTCAAAAAAACGGTGATATTTTTTAATAGGTCGCTTAATTGCGTCTTTAAGATTACAATGACGCTTTCAGAATCATGTTTGATTGAAAATTAACGTCTGTACAGAGGCTTAAAGTTCATAACTTTTGGAGCCTCCGCTATAAACAAATAGAATTGTGCGAAAACTATTGCACCTACAGCGCCCACTTTTGGCACACTTTTAAAGTATGACAAAACCCTCAACTTGTCATAGGTTTTATAAAATTTTAACAATAAATGCGATAGTTATAAACAAATGAAAAAATGGGCACTTTTCTTGTTTTTTTGCAATAACTTTTTTGTTTATTAACCGATTTTAATTTAACCAGTCTCATTTTGTAGATAATTTTACTCCCTATAAGCTGTCTGAGAGTCACTTTTCGCTAAAATTGATGGTTTTCCCTGCAAAGTGAAAAAACTGTTTTCCTCACTTATTTCTTTAAATAGAAAAGTTAGCTAATAAAAGTTTTTGACTCACGAGACGAGAGATGTCTTGTATTATGTTCCTTTCGACAATTTTACAATAATCTAGCGGATAGGACTTTTTTCGAGTTTCTCTTTTATTTTCGCTAATTTGCCTGGTGTAAAATCAAGTGTTCTACTATTTAAAAGCCCGACATTTTTCTTTTCTGACTTACCGTATTGTTAAAAATAAATGATGCATGTTTTTATAATAAAGTGTTATTTACCAAACTATAAAGCACCCCGCACGTTGTTGGTTTTGTGTTACTGACCAAAAGTCAGTTCTGCTGATGATGACTGCAATATAGTAGTATGAGTAGAATATTGCAATAAAAACAGTTACTTTTGTGAAATGTGTATAGAAAAAATTATTCGGATGACTTCGAAAAGTTACTAATTAACATTTTTGACACGTACTAAAGCCGGATTGGCTGTAATAGCAGTTTGTAGATTGCATTCATACATTTCCCATTTATATGCAACAACATCTCTAAGTATCAATAAGTGAAACAAATATGTGGTGCTACTTCCAGAGCCAGAGTGACCTAAATTTTAATATGAGATTTATTCTCTCCCTCCTCTTTCCCTATCTTTTGAGTGAGAACAGTTTAGTATTTGTCACATGCCAAAAATTTTAATTAGCAACGTTTCGAACTCATCCGATTAATTTTGATTGCATTGAGTCCATCATCAACAGAACTGATTCGGACTGCTATAAGTAGGAAAGAATTGATTTTCGGGCCCAAGTACTGTAGAAACTTTTGGTCAGTAACACAAAACCAACAACTTAATTTTCATAAGGACAGTGCGGGGTCCTTTCTTAACCTATCTTGGGCAAAAAAAAAACATATTTAGTCCTGTAATACTAGTTGATTTTTTTAATTGTAAACCATGGAAAAATTTATTTATCTATGGTAAGTACATGTAGGTACTTATTATAGACAAATGGCTTTTTATTATAAACACGAATCTATATAGATTTATCTAACCCTTAAAATGTAATAATCATCAATGAATCACGTTTCATACAGCAATTAGTCGATGGTAGTTATCGATTAGATAAAAATGTTAACATTTTTGTGAGTCTGTAGCAAGAATTTATCAAAGTGTGATTTTTTCCCGATATTCTATACATGATTTTGTCACCCATAGCTAAGTAACTGGAATGTACTCCTATATCAACTTTTTTCTTAGAGTAAACTACTCCAGCTCAGATATCGGGTTTATATAAAAAATAAATAAAGATATTCCTGATCATAATAGGAACAAGTTTGGAAAATATTTTTCTGACATAACCAGACTCTTATGAGTGTATTGTGTACGACGATACTCGAAATATAAATTTCGATGTATACGATAAAATTTGATGTGGTTTTATCAGTGCAAAAAAAACATCAACGGACTCAAATTTTGTCAATATAATCACGATATAATTGGTCCAAAATGGATCAAACAATGACATTGTCACAATCAGTATGACACGTGTACATTTATTTCTTCGTTGTTTAAAATACACCATACATTCATAATTCTATTTGAAAAAAAAAAACAAGTTGTAATCAAATTTCACTGATAAATCTGCCTCTTGTGATGCTGTATGCAACAAAACCACATTCTCTTATGATATATGATATATGATATAATTAATTGTTTATTAACTGTTATTCAAAAACATAATACTTTAAAAGTGAATGAAAAGAAGATATGACACCTGCGTTAATCTCTTGATACATGCCGAGACTCCAGAGTAAGATCTTGAGATTGAATATACAGGGTGGTCCTCAAGTAATTGTACATAGAAGTATGATAGATTTGTGACTTTAAAATATTACGATTTGAGCCAACTTGCCTTAATAAAATATTGATAATAAGAAATATACAGGATGTTAAAAGTGAAATTTCAAAATTTATTTTTCGCAATAACTTGAACATTTTTGGATATTTATACAAAAAAAAAAAATTATCTGGGGTTTTTTGGTATGAGAAATCATAATTTGATATCTAATCTAATATATCTTTTAGAGGGCGCCACATAAGCCACATATGTGGCATAAATGTACACTAAACTTTTTTGCCCATCAAGGTAGCGCTCGTTTGGTGAAGAAATATTAAAGGCACGGCATTGCAAGAACAAAAATGTATACTTGTTAACCTCTAAACTTAACGGTTTTCGAGATAATCGAATTTAAAAATCGACTGCATAATTCTTTAATTCATTACGAGAAATATTAACGTAGAAGTCGTATACGCTTATCATGTTTTTATATCAACAGGATGAATATTAACGTAATAGTAGGAGTTGAAATCAAAAATTAAATTTTTTTTTTAAAATTTTAAAAATTAAACAAAAGCAGTTAAATTATAAGTTTAATAATTACTAGTAGTACTAGTACAATTACTTAAGGACCACCCTGTATATAAGTAATTTCACTTTAAGAACAGCAATTTTAACTATTTTTGTTATAATTTTGCATACTTTTTTAGGATTATGGATCCGGAGAATGTAGAAGACGGCTACTTAGTATTCGCTAGTGCCATCTGTACAATAGGAGCTTCAATATCTCCTTTTTCTGCTCTTTGTGTGGACTTACTCTGAAGGAAAATAAAAATCATGGAGTTCGTCTGTGATTACAAAAAAATCCGATGTACTTGTGTTGTATTGCCCTTAAAGTATTGCATTGTGATATTAGATATAATTCAAATTTTTTATAATGACTAGAGGATCTTATAATGAAATATTAAAATGTTATTTAAAAAAGTCTAAGAATTTTCGTACGATTTGTATAAATTATTATTTATAAATATATATAGTTACATATAGGTACCTATTTTGTTTTTTTGTTTGTCAATTTTGCCCTTTGCCTGAATTTATAAGAATATAGAGCATTTTCTGGTTTCCAGAGGACACATACCTATTGTTCGTGAGCAGAGTATTTGATTATCACTATTAGACTTTATAAATATGGATATTTTAGGAATGACTAGCAATTAATAACATTAACGAATATGTACAGGGTGTCCCAGAGTAACGTGTACAACGGAAGACCACAGATTCGTGGAATCAAAATAGGCAGATTTAGGCTAATTTACCTACAATATCCGAAATCGCTTCGTTTGGTGGCTAGAAGCCTCAAAGTTCTCACGTATTATTCGATTTTTATTATTTTTGGGGTGTGGACGTTTGCTTTCAATTTTCACATTTTGATGTTTTGCAGAGTGATTTTTAAAACTTACAGCTCCTATAAAATTTGATATATGGTGATAATATCCGTTCATAACTTTTTCCTCTTTCGGGCAATAATGACAACTATTTTTTATTTGATAGACGATAACATTTGGAAGTTTTTAGGCCTCTTGTAGAATTTTGATTAAATGAGCCGTTTGGTCAAATATTTGTTAAATGTACACATTATCTTGCCACACATATTACAATACTTAACAGGTTGACTGTAATTTTAGTTTGATCTTTAAATTGTACCTGCCAATTATACTTTACTAGAATATATTTTACTACTAATACCTAGCCCTTAAGAACTGCGCAGGGCGTCCTTTAACTTTCTTCGCCGAATTATTAACCTTTGTTAGATCTGTTCCAACAAGAGTCAGGGATTGGTTCCGAACCGTTTGAAATGTTTGGCCAGCTAAGTTTTAAATGTGTCTTCAGTGAATATATCGCAAGAATTAGTTGGATGCACATATCTGACGGTTCGGAACCAATCCCTGACTCTTGTTGGAACAGACCTGATGTAGAAACAGCGGGGTCATTTTGAACAGTTTTTATAATTGTATACCAAGTTTAATAACATCAACTTTGTTACTTTTATCTCTAGCATTTTTTATTGTATTTGATTGTTTTTACCAATTATTTCAATAAAATTAGGCAAGTGGTAATTAACTCTAATTCCTCTTATGTGTGAATGTATGCATTCCCATATCAAAAACCTAAAACCTACAAATTCTGTGACTACTAGCACTTGTTAGGTAAGTATTGTAATAATATATTGTGGCAGGATAATGTAGACATTTAAAAAATATTTTTTTCGGCAACCGTCCGGGAAGTGGCTACTTCCCGGACGCTTTTTCTTTGAGAAAGTAGCATTTTTTCGGCCTGTCATTGTGAATTCTGACTACAAAAGGCATTTAAATATACCAAGCATTTCAAACAAATTAAACCCTTTCAATATTAGCAATTGCTCAAATTTTACTATAAATCTTAATATAAATAAGAATTAGAATGTTTCTGTTAGTACCTATCTTCTGTTCGAATTTCAATATTTAATACAAATAAGAATTAAAATGTTCGAAATTTTGTCCTACAAAAAAATATAATAAAGAAATGTCTCATTAATTTGTTATTCTACATGGTTGCCGAAAAAATAGTGTACGCAACACGTCCGAAAACAGTTTTTTTGAACTCGCAGACTTCCAGGACTCGCCTACGTCTCGTCTTGGGAAAAATGAATTGAAAATAGCATCTTCCTAGATAATAAATTCCGCCAACGCCAAGCTAATGAAGCTTTTGGGCTGAAATTTTTACCATGTATTAAGGGTGCAAAAACCTCAAAAATCCTAAATTACAAGTATCTGCGATGAAAATTGCATTAATTATTAGCAATTGAAAAAAGCGGACAATTTCGACCATTTTTGAGATCTTAAAGAACAAATTATCGGAATTTAATCGGACTTTACCTGTCTCGGACACTATTGACAGCCCTCGCTCCGCTCGGGCACAAAATCGTCATCGATTGGTAAATAATACTTACCTCCTTTATGGCGTCCTTTATAACTAATTTGTTCAAGGGTTGTATGTGACACTTTCATAGCATTCACAGGCGTCAAAAATAGCTACTTACAAAGCTAATAGTACGAAAAAATTTCCATGATCCTGTCAAAAGCGACAGTTTTTTTACTTAATTTCCAGTGTAAAAAATTTACTTTTATAAGAGCCTATGCAATGAAATTCAATATTAATTTGCAACAATATTTCGATCTACTTTTCAATTAACAAAATGTTTAGTAAGATGTCTAGGCAACTCACAACTTCTCGATGTAGTAGACAGTATACCAACTGAAATTGTTTGAAATTTTTTAAATCATATCTTCCTACATCTGCAAGCATGGTTGCAGATACCAAAATCTGTGACCATTATACTCCTGTGGATTGGGTACCTCTAGAACATTTTCCATTACGGTATAGCTAAGAAGCGGTCGATCATGTGTTGTTACTGGTGACCTAAGAGTGATGTGATTTGTATAAATTTCAAGTAAATTTTTCAAATCTCTCGTTTATTAGTTTTTACGTTGGAATTTTCACAATCCACTAATAATGAAACTCTTCTGTTTGCTCTGGCTATTCCAAAAATTGCTGCAATCTAAAATATATACTATTAGTCGCTCCAATGAAAGAAATTATTACGGTAAAATTCCATTTATCATTACCTAAATATTAGTAAGAGGTGTTTCGTTTACAAATTTACATAGGTATTTTATCTTTGCTAAAGAGTTTGATTTCTTGATATGACCAGGGCCGGACTATGATTTTTTTTTCGGCCATAGCCAACTATATTATAGCGCTCCCCTTCCCACTACAAAACTTTTAAAATGTATTAAAGTTAAACAAGTAGGTGTCATAGTTATTTATGGTACAAGTATTAAAAATGATATTTATTTTTTTTTTTTCTACAATAAAAACAAATATGTTGTAAATGAAACATCATTTTTAATACTTAAATCATAAATAACTATTATATACGTTTTCTGGATTTCTTGCTGCGATACTATTTATAATATCAGTAAAATCAAGCACATTAGTTAGTTAGGTTTATTGATAGCATAGATAAATTATTAAGTCCTTCTTGACTAATGGCATTTCGTAAATATGTTTTTGTCCTCTTCAAAGTAGAAAATGATCTTTCTCCTGATAGTCCGTTAGCTAGCGCACATATGTGTGGCGTCATCGAAAAATGTCTGGTATTTTGAGGTCTGAAAAAGGTAAGTTAGTTAATGAAAATAAGGGTGGTTTTAAGGGCCGACCCTTGTTCGAAAATTTAGAAAATTAATTTCCTTTTGCATAAAATTATTAGTTTTTCACTCATCTTAAAGTGTCTGGCAGTTGATGCAAAAATAGACATTAATAAGTACCTAACATTTTTCAAATGCCAGACGGTTTTAAATAGCCGAAAGGGTGGTTCATAGGGGTGAACTTGCAAGAAGAAAAATTCATCGTTTACTTTTTGTCTGGCAATGAAAATTTTTGTTATGAAAATGATAAAAATAAATTGCCAGACGGTTTCCAATGTTCGGAGTCGAGTATCTCTGGGGAAAATTATGTGAAAAATTTTAACATTTTTCAGTGATCACTATTAGTCTGGTATCTCGAAAAAAATTCAAGACACCACATTTTCTCCGAAAGGAATGAGGATTACAAAAATGATTTTTACTTTAAGAAAAAGCAGTGGCGTAACATATTTTTCTTCAAAAATATTCAATACAAAACCTGTACAGGCGCCACTGGCAAAAATAATAAAATTGTTTGTATATCAGAAATTTGAAAAAATATCAAGGGTAGTACCAAAGTTATCATAAAAATTTTTTTTCATAAAACTAGCACCCTGTAGTTCAAAAGTTAAGACTTTTGGGACATATGTTCATATGAAGTTTTTTTCTTAAGAATAACATCCTTAAATATTAGCACGTTATTAAGAAACACCCTGTATAATATACAAAATATTGTATATAATTTGTGCAAAAAAGTATTTTCGATGTTTAGATGTTGTCAAACACTTACTTTGCATAAACAATATGACAAATTTAGCTTGCTTAACACAATATTTAAGTGAATCTCTTGATAAACAAGAACGAGTGGATGTTATTTACTTCGATTTCCAGAAGGCATTTCCATCAGATTGACCATTATGTTTTACTTTCTAAACTTGATCGTACGAGTTTATCGCAATGTTTACTAAGTTTTTTGAGTCATATTTATCTGGCAGAAAACAATTTATCGAATATGATGGTTTTAAATCTTGTTTATAACGTAAATACAGGAGTTCCAAAGAGGTCTAACTTGGGACCTCTGTTATTTTTAACATTCATTAATGATTTAGCCAACTCAATCACTCAGAAACTTTTTTTCGCCGATGAACTTAAATTTTACAGAAAAGTAAATAGTATTTATGACTGTTATCATTTGCAATCAATTATTGATTTCATTTTACAGGTGATTTAAAAAATATCACATTTATATCAATTTTTCAAAAAGTAATGTATCCTACACTAGGAAAAAGTCACGTATTCTATATAATTATCACCTTGAATCTACAACTATAAATAGGTGTGATATTGTGAAGGATTTGGGCGTCTATTTCGACAGTGGCCTTAGCAGCAGACAGCACGTTAATAGTATATTGCGCTTTCTGCCTCAAAGGCACTTGGATTTATAATGAGAATACCAAATCATTTAGAAATACTTATGCTCTAAAAATTCTTTTTTATTCTCTGGTTAGGTCTACACTAGAATATTGTATTTTTGTTATGTATCCATTATATAACTGTTACATTGATGTTATTGAATCAGTTCAAAGACGTTTTTTAAAATACTTAGCTTTTATAGATGATAGTTTCTACCCCCAAAGGGGAATTGATAACACAATTTTATTAAACAGATTTAATATGTTTTTTTAGAGTTAAGACGAAGAATTATGGCAGTAGCATTTTTATATAATATTATCCATGATAGAATTGATTACAGTGAGTGACTGGCATATTT